CTCCACTGAAACTGAGGATGAGTCTTTACCAGTGGCCTCTCCTGCTTTCTCTTCAGGGACCCCCATCCCTGTTACACAGTGCCAGCCCTCGCTGCTTCCCGTTACCTCTTCAGGTCTTCAAAGCCAGTACCACCTGACTCTTACACATTACCCATTTTAGCTGCCAGCAGGAGATACAGCCTTGACCACCCAGGACCACAGATGCTATGTTTGGATCCTGAGGAAATACTCCCAGAAGATTTCTCCTAAATGATGCTGGTCTCTTCTTAAGCACAGCTTATTTCTCAGCCCCAGGGAACCAGCGTCACTTGTCTCAGTAAAGCGAAGGTTTTACTTCAGCAGTGCTAGTATCTTGTTAATCATTTATGAGTCTTCAGGTCTAGCTGACCGGAACCAAGGGTTCTTAACACAAAACATCACACAAATTGCCCTGGTCAGAGTCTTTGTTTCCTTCTGACATTTCACAAGTCAGTCTTCTATCATCTGCATCTCTTTCAGCATTTTTCTCATTCAAACTCCAAAATGCCCATTAAGCTTTGAGCTCTCAATGGCTTTCCTATATTAAAGTTCCAATGTCCTTCCACAATCCTCTCCGAAGCAGTATAATCAGTTCTGTCACGGCAATGCCGCATGAACCTGATACCAGTTTCTGTTTTAGGTTTCTATGGCTTTAATAAAGGCAATGACCAGATAAACTTGAGGAGTAAAGGGTTTATTTCAGCTTACAGTTCCACATCATATCATATCAGCAAAAGAAGTCAGGGCAGAAACTCAAGGTACGAACCTGGAGGCAGAAACTGAAGTAGAGACTGTGGAGGGGTGTTGCTCACTGACTTGCTTGTCACGGCTTGCTCAGCTTGCTTTCTTATAGAACCCAGGACCACTCGCCCAGGGGTGGTACAACCCACAGAGATCTGGGGCCTCCTTCAATCATCATTAAGAACGTGCCCTATAGACTTGCCTATATCTGATTGAAGCAGTTTCTCAACTACTGGATACTGGGTAATATTCGATGCCTGCCCTACTAACCTCATTTAAAACCGATTTCCTCTTGTTTCTAATTTGGCCATGTTTCTAAATGAGGTCAGATTCTGAGCTAATGGGGGTTAAGACTTCAATATATAATATTTTGGAAGGGACACGTTTGGATCAACAACAGATAGAGGATTAAGTAATGAAAAGGAAATGAGGAAATTTAGATGTAAATGTTGGCAGCACTGTAAAATACTTAATTGTAAAGGAAGCCAGATTCATAGATTGGAGAAGATGCAGTGTGGGGGGGAAATCACAGAAGCAAGGAGAGAACTGAGCATGGTGTATTTGGAAAGAGGGATGAGTAGAGGAGAAGTTAAAGATACAGGTAGGGCGATGAACTTAAATCTGGCAATATACAAGAAGTGGTATTGGGAACTGTCTTGAAAGTTGCAATCTTAAATCAGAAAAAGAGAACTTCCTCATCTGAGACTGGAGTGACTGGTGAATATATATATATCGGTATGGTACTAGAACTGGTAATGGCAATAGAAGAGATAAAAGCCTTCAGAGTGGTATGTGAAGGTTAATTTTGATTCTCACTTTAATTAAACCGATGTGTTGGTTGTGATTTGTGAAATTTCCTTCTGGGCATGTTTGTGATAGCATTTCCAGAAAAATTAGGCAGGAACACCTATTCTGTATGTAGACAGCAGCATCCTATGTACTAGTGTTCTACTCTACTTCCTGACCCCTAGATTGGGAGCTGCTTGCTCTACTATTCCCTGTTGATCAGGAGGTGCTGAAATCATGACTCAAGACAAATATTTCTTTCTTTAAGTTGTTTGTATTAGATATTTTGTCACAGGGTTAAGAAAAGTTACTAATCTAAATGGTAAGAGCATAATTCTAGAGTTAGGGTGTATAAGGTCACATTTCAGTCCTATGTGTGGCATTTGGAAAGTTATTAACATCTGTCTGGGACCTTCACTTCCTATGTACAAAGGTTTCTTTTTGAGAATTCAGAATTTCAATGTGCTAGACAAGCATTTGGCAATGTCATTATTATGGAAAATCTGAGTGAAAATGAGTAACGGGGAGTGAGGTACAAAACAGGTGAGCCTAGAAGAATGTGGTAAAAATTTGGAGTCACCATGAATTACAAGATATGGAGCTACAAAATTCAATAGCACTTGGGGCACCACTGAGACTGTGAATATATTTTTAAAAACTGCCATACTTAGGGCCAAGCAGCTTTCATCAGTGCTGTTTAGTATCTACTGGTCTGATACCAGAGGAGATGGATTCCAGGATGATATATGGCTTAGTATTTTTCAGCTTTAGTGAACATGACTATTACTTAAAGTTATTAAATTATATGTGACCAGTGATATTATATTGTGCTTACTTAGTGACGTTGGAGTCAAACTCAGGTCCTTGTGCATGTTCGGGAAAATTCTACCACTAAGCTACAAAAAGGATCATTACAATATTTGACTTTGGTTTTTGTTTTTCTGATAGCTGCTGCTGCTGACAATCTTTTATGTTCTTATTTATATTTTTATATCATCTTTAGTGAAGTGTCTGTTCAAAGGTTTGCTCATTTTAATTGGGCAGATTGTTTTTGTTTTGTTACATTTTAAGAGTTCTTTACTATTTCATTGAAAAAAGTGAGCAGATGAATTAAATAAACATTTCTCCCAAAAAGTACTTGAAAATGCCACTACAGGCCAGAGAAGATTCTCAACATCATTAGCCATGAGAGAACAACATATCAGAATTTCATTAGGATAGCCTATCTCCTTCACTAAAGCAAAATTAAGAATAAAGATAACTAATTTTTGAGAATATTGAGAAAGGAGAATCTACATAGTGATGTTTGATGATTCCACGGCTTTGCAAATCAGTTTGCCAATTTTTCCAATTGTTAAGGATTGGCATATCTGTATAATTTAATAATTCCATCCCAAGTTATATACCCAAGGGAAATGAAAACATAGCTTCATACAAAAAAAACTGTATGAAAGTTAATAGGGACAATTTTCTGATTTTGTGAACGAAATCAAGGGTCTCGAGCATGCTAGGAAAGTGTTTTGCCCCTGAGCTACAACCGTAGTCCTTAATGTCAGTGTCATTCATATTGCACTCAAAGTAGAAATACCCAAATATCTATCAACTGATGAGGGGATGCATAGTGCAATATATCCATAAAATGTCATATACTTTGGCAATAAAAAGCAACAGTGTATTTGGCAGCATGTGTAGACCATGAAAATATTATCAAAATGAAATAGTCTAGTAATAGAAAGACAATAAATCATATGATTGAATTTATGTGAAATGTTCAGAACGAGAAAACAAGTTTGTGTTTGCACTGGAGTGGTGAGTAGTTTAGAGGGTGACAAGGGTATAGTGATTTCTGGGCTGTAATGAATTGTTCTACAATAGATCATGGTAGCAGTTACAAAACTATGTGAAAGTGTATTATTTTAGGGTGCAGTAATTTGTTGTCTATTTTAATTAAATATATCTATGGGTTATATGCAATAATACTATACACACACAATGATCAAACTCGGGTAGTTAGAGATGAATTAATTGTATGTTGTGTAAATCATATCTCTATAAAATTGATATAGAAGGTCTATATGAGAGTAATAGGAAGTTGGTTGGAAAAGACAAGGCTAGAGGCCGAGGTACTTCTTGGAAGTGAGGTCACTTTTCCTGGAGAGATGTGAACAGAGGTTTATTTATCACAGACAGAGCAATGACAACTGGTCAGTCAAACCACTGTACCCAAATCTACCTTCACAAACTAGTGAGTTATTGGGGTACTTAAAGCAGCAGTAATGACTCAGGGGTAACTTACAGAAACATGGATAATTAAAAAACAACATTGAAAACCTCATCTTATCATAGGTGATAACTCATCAAATTTGCTTTCTTGGAGCTTCCTGTATAGTCTGCTCATTTTTAGCAGTTGTTACTGTCTATGTAATCTCTGATGGTAGGTATTTGTGCATCTTGAAAGCATCTGGAGTAAAGATATGAGTCAATGGTTAAAAGCAAGTGTTCCTCTTCCAGAGCAATGTGAATTCAGTTCCCAAAATGCACACCAGAAAGCTTACTACCATCTATGGCTCCAAAGGATGGCATGATGCTTTCCTGTCTAAATGGCCATCAGCACTATGTGGGCACAGTCCCTGTACATATGAATTTAAAATAAACTAAATCTTAAAAATCTAAAGTATATTGCAGAGATGGTACTTCATTGGATGTTGAGTCTTAAAGTGGCAAGGAAAACTAAAGTTTTGAGTCTTGGCAACTAGTAGAATAGCTATGCTACTTCACAACATCAAAGGCACACTTCGGAGAAAAGTTTTACTTTTTTCAAGGGGAGAATTAAATTTATAGCAATTTTAGGTTGTCTTTGGTCCTGAAGATTGAAGCTAAGGCTTCCTGCCTAGTAAGATGCTCTGCCACTGAACTGTAACCCCCAACGGAAAATTTCCATTTTTATCTGCTATTAGGACAGTATGAAAATGATATCTACTATTCAATTTCAATTGCAATTTTGAGGTGAGAGTTTAGTAACAAGGTAGGTCTGACTTGAAGTTGTTAAGATTTTCCTAGGCGAAAATCATAATATGTAACTGAAATCTTCCATAGAGTCTTGAAGAAAGGGGTGAGATGAGCGCAGAGCTTATGGAAACAGTTTCATTCAGGAGGCAGCAAGCAGAGAATCAAGATGAACAAAGAAGCCAAATGATACAACATCATAGCCTCTGACCACAGCAGCAGGACTGCATCATCATAGAATTAAGCCTGAATGTCTGTGCATGGAGGGCTACAAGTTTTTTTTTTTCCCCAAGCAGAGAGAAAAAAAATCTAACAAAATAAAATGGAGCTTGGCATGAGAATGATGGATGAGGCTCTTGAGGGTGCTGAGGCTCACCCACTGCAGCCTTTAGAAATAGAGGAAACTCTCATACTGGCACCAATGAGACGTTTCTTACTACCCTTCTTAGGTGAAGTACTTACTTACCAGTGGAACATCCCAGAAAGATCTGGTCCTGGACCCGGTGACTCTGCTTGTGTTTCCTGGATTTATTATTCTGCAGTGGAGCCCATCAAGGTAAAGAAAAAAATTGAATATTGGAAGAAGGATCCCAGAAATGGGCAAACTACCTGGAAAAAGGACAACAAAAGGTGTGGTTAAAAGAAACAAACAAAAAACAACCAGCCAACCAATCAACCAGCCAACAAACAAAAAACAGCTGGGTTTGAGGAAATTTACTCAAATGCATGCCTTATTTTCATAGGAAGAGGGATGAAGGTAGTCTGTGACACCAGATACTTGTCATGAGGATTTTCTTTTTTGTCTCAGATTTGTGGATCCTATAAGCAGTATGTTCTCATATTTTTTTAAAATGCGGATAGTTGTCAGGAAATTAGGGGCCTGTTGCAAATTTAGCTCAAATGGCCTTGGAATAACTATAATAAAGTCGTGCTGCCTCTGCCTGGGGAATGAATTTAGTTTATCTAGACAGATAATCCTGCAAGTCTTCAGCAATATGTTATGTCTACTATACTATGGGTATTTTTCTTGGAGTTTTGGATGATGCAAATGTAAGGTATCGTCCCTACTTGCAAAGTCCAGTTGCGAAAAAGGGAAGCAGAGAAGGTGTAAGAAAGGAAGCCACCTGTAATCTGGACTTTGAAATCTAAATGAGAGTGTGCCATAGATCAGGGGGTGTTGGAAGAAGGGTATTGCAGGCATAAGAAACTGCCTAAAAAGGTGTTAGGTTGGTACATTTAAAAATTAATGAATAATTCAATCTACCTAAAGCACAAGTTACACATGGCATCTCAACTCTGTCTGAAATGAATACAAAGCGTTTATGATAAAGTGATAACGGGCTTAGAGTAAGCTTATTTGTGACTCCACTCTTGACAAAGTACTGCCATCCAGGAATAACCTCATGCCTTTCTCCCTTTATCAGGACATGTATAGTGGCCTGGTGGGACCCTTAGTCATCTGCCGAAAGGGCGTCTTGGGACCCCATGGAGGCCGGAATGATATGGACCGGGAATTTGCCTTGTTGTTTTTGATCTTTGATGAGAACCAATCTTGGTATCTGGAGGAGAATATCGCAATTTATGGGTCACAAGAGACAAAGCGTGTTGACCTACAGGATGAGACTTTCGTGGAAAGCAATAAAATGCATGGTCTGTAGAAATGAAGCTACTCTTATTTCAAAGTAGTCTGCATTGTTTTCAGGAGATGATTTGCTAGGCTCATCTCTATCTGTGGCTGCATAATTCTGGAAAGGATGAGAAAGTTGGACAGTGGAATGGAAATGACTTTGAAAAAACATTTCTTATTTTTCTATACATATATTTGTAAAAAAACAAAAACAAAACAAACAAACAAACAAAAAAAAAAACCATGGTCCAGGTTAGATGAGGTGCCCCGAAAGAAGGAAGCTAACTCTGTAAAGTTATCATTATAATACAAGCAAATTTTAACATACTAGATAAATGAAGATGGACATTTATAGTCCCCTATATACTTAATTAGTCTATCTAGACAGATAGTCTTCGTAAGTGGCCCTCTGTTTCAAAATTCTGAGTTTGTTTTTCTCTCAAAAGCTTGATATCTAATCATCACTTTATATTTTGGATTGGTTTTGTCAATATAGACAAATGAAGGACAACTTGTCAGTTTTACTACTATGCTTTAATATTTAAATTTAATATAAAATTTAAATTTGCATTGAGTAGTTGGAGAAGCTAGCCACGAGAATAGCACATGGAGCTGTTACATACCATCAAGAACTTTTTGATTCTTGAATGGATTTGGGGTGGGAGAATTGTATCATCAAAGCCTTCCTTTGCTCTAGATAGCTGGTAGCTTTTCACACACACACAAAAGAGAAAGTCGCGAATGAGAGGGAGGGCTTAAGTGCAGAGGAATGTCTGAAGTGATCTCCCCCAGCACTTTTCGCCCAAGGTTTCTTTGATCTGAGAGTGAGGTGCAGCTTTGATAATGACTCTAATGGAACTCAAAAGTAGTATCCCATTGTCCTACAGATTTTATCTATTTCCTCTTGATGGAAAGATGAGTGATTCACACTAGAATGGATGATTCACAACTTTACAAAGTGAACTTTTTTCGTTTCTGTCAAATCACGGAAATAAAATGGACTAGAACTAAGAGGAAATGAGGGCAAAGATAGGTCCTCCCAATTCAGGATTTGGCTAATGCCCACTTTTATCTACGCAGGTGTCCATTTTTCCAAACTTCAGCTGTCACTCTACCTAGCTAGCTAAATAGCAGGTATTTTTAAACATGTTCTGAGCTATAAATACAGAGAAAAATAATGTTGTAGTCCAAGGGACAAGTAAATAATATTCTAACTTCTCTTCTACATTTCTGAACCAGCTGAAAAAAAATAAATGGTTAAGATAAAATATGAGCCTTATTACCGAAAATGCTAATTGGAAAACTGAATTTCATCATATAAATATGATTGCTGATAGCTTTCCTTGCAAAGGATAGGTTTTCTAAATTGTCATTGACATCAATGGACAACATAATTTCTCTGCATTAAGAGAAGCAGGAGCTTACCAGAACCAATTAGTGAGCCAATTTGCACCTTTTTCTATGATCAAAGAGATAAAACCTCTAGAAGTGGGTGAGCTGAGCAATTTGGTTCTTGTTTTTAGCCAAATCCACAATTTAGTGTTGGTAGACATAGAGAAATACTGTAGCTGTTCTCTTCCATTATTTTCCCTCTTGAAGAGTAGAGTTGAAATTGCCTCTCATCTGTGAGAAAATGAGATGTGGGAGGAAATTGTTTTGGGTAAAATCCTACCAATATGAGTTACTATAGCCATGAATCGTTCAGTGTAGCATAGGATGTGATTTTGGAAGACAATGTGTTAAATAAAACAATGTATATTGTATTCCAAGTTATCTGTTTGTGGTTTTGCAAGTGTGCCAGGAAGCTATAACACTGGAGTATATAAATTTATTTCCTGCTATTAGTAACCCGAGACAAGTTGGCAACATAAGCTTTCACACCTTAAAAGATAAATAAACCTAGAAGACAGATTTTGGAGAGTTCTAATGAATCATGCTGAGGAGTATTGGAGGAGTTCAAAGGGGGAAGGTGATATAAGAAATTGAGGTTACATAGAGGAGCTTAGGAAATCAGAAAAGTTTTCTTAAGGGGGTGAAATTTTAAAGAGAAATAATAAGGAAGCAATTTTTATGAGAAGGAAGCTCAGAAGCCTAAGGATTCAGACATGTATAGACCGAATGGATGGCAGAGAAAAAGAACAAATCCACTCACTGGAGTCGATAGTGTGGGTAGTTGGAGGTGGACCTGGGAAGCTGATATGGAGCTATATTTTAAATGAACTTATTGCCGTGGAGTTGTTGTTGTTTGGGAAAAGGAGGAGCCCTTAAGTTTTTTAACTGCAAAATAACATGATTAGGAATAATTGCTTAGAGATAGCTCTGATATCATTGTTGTGGAAGATACATTCTATTGAGTAATGTAGCAAGTTAGTAGACTATCGCTATCATCAGAAATGACAGGAAATCCACAGAAGACAGTGGCAAACTGTAAATAAAAGATATGAGACATTTTCTTCTTTTGCAGCCATCAATGGGAAACTCTATGCTAATCTCAAGGGTCTTACCGTATACCAAGGAGAACAAGTAGCCTGGTACATGCTAGCCATGGGTCAAGATACTGACATTCACATGGTACACTTCCATGCAGAGAGTTTCCTTTATCAGGTGAGCTGAAATGTGGTTGAACCCCACAGGGGTGATTCAAACGATGCCTTAAGAGTCTTCGCAGAAGGCAATGACAAGGTATAAGGTAATAGTTAAGGAATATGAAGGTTTATGGAATGGAGCATCTAGCAGGGGATTCTAATAAATTGTATACCCCAAGGTAGTCCCTTGTAGGATTTAGCTTTTCCTTCTGATAAGAAAGAGAATGTCTCACTTAAAAGGTTAGTAGATGGAAGGAACCAGTGTTACTGTATCTGAGCCAAAGAGTTTAGATTCGATGAGCAATGATCTTAAGAAGAAGGAATTTCAAATATTCTTAAAAATCCCTGAAAGTCTTGAATCCATCATAACAAGACTTTAAGTTCAGGATCTATAGAACAATACATGGTTGTGAAAAAGTTTTAATCTTAGGAAAAGAACACAGAATTGGAGACATTGTTGTAGATTAGAGATTTAGAACTATTTTGATTGGGGTCTTGGCAAGGAGAAACGAAGCTGGATTCACTCAAAAGAAAACATGTGGATCCTTCTAAGATATCAGAACTTTAACCAGACTCTCCAGATTTTAGCTTATTAAAAGTTTCAGAGAAACCAGATTTGAACCCTCTAAAAGACTGGTAGCATCTTTCATCTGTGGCACTTTATGAAAAAGTAGAACAGTGCTGTGTTGTTTTAGTTTGCATGACTGAGTTCTAGGAGAGATAAATAAATGGACCTTTGATGTTTCTCATTGTCGCAGACATTTTGGAGTCTTAAGAACCTAAAAAGGACATCATAAACTTTTAGTTGCTATAAGCTGTAAATTGGTTCCTCATTTTCACTTCTCGCCATCATCTTTATTACAGAATGGACACAGTTACCGGGCAGATGTTGTAGATCTTTTTCCAGGGACATTTGAGGTTGTGGAGATGGTAGCCAGCAACCCTGGGACATGGTTGATGCATTGCCACGTGACTGACCATGTTCATGCTGGCATGGAGACCATCTTTACCGTCTTGTCTCATGGAGGTAAGACCAAAATCCCCCAAGTGTGTTATTTTCTAATCTTTTGTCTAGTCGGTAGAGAACAGGTAATAGTAAGGAACCACTTGAACTTCCCCTACTGACTCAGAAGAACCAGGTTTTATCATAGAGCAAGGACCCTGATTAGGTATTTTCCCAAGGTGCATTTCTCTTCCTCCCATGTAAGTTTATTACATTTGCAAGGGAGGGTGCTTTGCTAATGTAGCTTTACCACTCTTTGGTAAAAAAAATATTTATTTATTTACAAATTCATTTAAAGTCTAATAGAGGTACTATTTCAAGGAAATTAGTAGTGAATGCTTTCTTGATGTGGTCAGTGTCGATACAGACAAATCTGTGGGGCTTGGAAGAGAGCTGAGTGGGCAACAATGTTTGCAAGCAAGCATGAGAATCTGTTTGCAGTTATTTAAAAGAAGCTGGCTATGACCAAAATACCTGGAACCCTGGTGTGGCAGGATGAAGACTGGAAAATCTTGGGATCTCACTGGCTACTCAGCTAAGCCAAACAGCAAGTTCTGGGTTCAGTGGGAGATTCTTGTCAATGAAACAGAGGTGGAAAGTAGGAAGAAAGATATCCAGTGCCTCTAGCCTTTGAATGCATTGGCATGAGCACACATACCTGCACAAACACATGTGAGCATATATACAACAGACACATTCCCCCCCCCCCCACACACACACACAGACATGCTCACAGATCCAAACCCCGGATTGTAGTGAATCCTTTTCTAAAGAGAAGAAAATAATTCTAGGGGATACTCTAGTCATGGTTTTGTGAAGGCTATAAATGGCAGTTCTTCAGAATTGTCTGTCTAAGTTAAATGGTAAATGTCTCACTTCAAAATTATCTCTAAGTTAAATGGTAAATGTCTCACTCTTCTTCTACATGAACTGTGTCCAAGGACCAGCACTATTTTCATTCCAAGAAGCCTTCTTATATCAATGCGTATTTTTACTTTGCTTTTATTTTTAAGCCTATAATATAATTATAGTATTTCCCTTTTCTCCCTCCAAACACTTATATATATATTCCTCTTTCCTCTTTTTCAAAGTCACAACCCCTTTTCTATTAATTATTATTGCATGCATGTATATATATATATGTGTGTGTGTGTATGTGTATATATATATATATATACATTTATTTTCCTAATTATAACCAGCTCAGTCCATGTGATGTTGCTAGTATGTATGTTTTTAAAGTTTTTTCATATATCATCCTGATCTGGAAAATAATGGTATGAGAGTAGGTATTCTGAGATGAACAGTCACTGACTCTATCAAAGCACAGAGAGTGAAGATGCCTTTCACTATTCAAACAAACTTAAGTCAACTGGAGTACAGAAAACAACTCTGCTCTTAATGGAAAAAGACAAAATGATAGTAGGTATGATTTCTTATATCATTAAAAAAGTTTTTCTTTGCCAAATCTTAATAGTAGAATATTGCTTCTGTTGCTTTTACTTATTACTCTGGTATAATCCCCCAGAACCCAGTTGTCATTTTTCTGTCCCTTCACAGCCCAGAAGACACACACCATCAAGGTGCTATAGATTCATATAAGCTTTGCTCATGTTATTTAGAAGGTCTTGTTCTGTTGGTGTCCTCCATGCCTTTTGGCTCTTACACTCTTTCTGCTGCCTCTTACTTGGTGTTCCCTGAGCTCCGTGCAGGGAGGGATTTGATGGAGATTTCCCATTTAGGGCTTAGTCTTCCAAGGTCTTTCATTCTCTGGCTATGCTTCTCTATATTTGTTCCCAAATGCTATAGGAGTAAACCTCTCTGGTGGTGGTTGAAAAAGGCACTGATCTATAAATATAGCAGAATATCATAAGGAGTAATTTAATCACTATGCTTTTTGTTGTTTTATTTTCCTCTTTTAGACCAGTATTATTTAGTTTTCCCCTAGGTCACTAGGCTACCTAGTCTTTGGTTCTTGGTCACCCAGGGAGTACTGGGCATGGGTTCCATCTCATGGAGGGGGTCTTAAGTCAAATTACGTGTTGGTTGGTTACTCCCACAAGTTTTGGCCACCATTGCCCTAGCACATCTTGCAGACAGGATACCATTGTAGATCAGAAGGTTTGTGGTGGATTTGGTGTTTATGTTTCTCTTTTGAGAGAATGCAGAGTACATTTCTGTGCCAAAGATGCTAAAACATAGAGGTAGAGGCTTTTATGTAGGCACCAGCTTAACTTCTCCATGTGCAATGAGCTGTGTACGTGTTGTCTTCAGAAATGGGGTCTTGCTATGTTTGTGGAGAACAATCAATAGTCTTGACAACACCCTTAGTTGTTTAGGCTTTCCCATTGGGGCCCTTGTATCCACAACTTAACTAGATGTACTCAATCCTGCTACAGGAAGCTTTGTTTGGTGACAAAAGATGGACAGCTGGGACTCTGCCTTCTTGTTATTTGGCTGTTTAGATCACCTAAATATATGTATTTTAGGAAATTCCTATTATATTAGTTTTATATTGCCCCTCGAATGTCACTTAATTTTAGCTGTTACCCCTCCCACAACTGCCATCTACTTGATCCTTCTGTTTTAGATCCCCCATCCTTGTCTATCTGTAATTATCTATTCTTCCTTCCATTTCCTAATGAGATCTCTTTGTTTATACCTACCCTCTGTGGGTCTGTGCATTGTTGCTTAGTTATCACTTACTTATCAGCTAATATTCACATATAAATGGATATTAACGTGTTTGTCTTCCTGGGTCTAGGTTACCTTATTCAGGATGATTTTTTTCTAGTTCCATTCGATTGCATTCAAATTTCATGATGTCATTTTTTAAAAAAAGATGAGTAATACTCCATTGTATAAATGTACCACATTTTCTTTACCCATTCTTTTGTTGAGGGACCTCTAGGTCATTTCCAATTTCTAAAAAGGCCGTTTCTTGGATAAAGTTTCTGATGAAGCTATGAGGTACATGAACCACATCTAAGATGAAGGATTAATACAATAGTGGAGGAAGATAATCTTTCTATTGTGATAAGAGAGAAGACAGAAAAAAAAGAGGATCAGTATGTAAGTTTAAAAGAAGGTCCTGACAAGCAGATTTTCTGCCTCATGTTCTCTTTATTTCTCTGTGGCTCAGCTGATAGTCATCTGCTGAGGGGGAGCTATTGGAGGAAATTGGGAGAAGTGTTAGGATAGCTTCTTTGGAGTGAGAAATAAAGTCAGTATTGCATTCTAGCATTGAAGGCTTAGTTAAAATTAGACAGGGAGAATCCAAGTCTCTATATTCTTATGATTTTTTTCTGGTGGTATTCAGCATATTAGGTAAAATACAAGGCAAGGAAAGTTACTGTGATTCCCTATGTTAGTGTTTGAAGTTATAGACCGTGTATTTTAATCTTGTCATTAGTAGAAGAGAAGATATAAATGAAATTGGTGGGTCTGGGAAGTCAAATGGTTTAGTAATAAAATGTTTATTGATGGGAGAACAACAGGATTTTTGCTAGCAAAACAATAAGCATTAAAAAGAGATTTTTGTTAGCACTGGGATTTCTGCAATGGTGCTGGTCTAGATGAGCAATCCAGTATGATCATGATTTAGCATGAGGGCTCAAACTGGAGTAGATACAAGTGACTGGAATGAAAATGTCTGATTCCTGGGACAGAAATGAAGAAGGACTATATTAATAATCAAAGACTTCCACGGAGGAAGAGAACTACTGGTTAAGAATAACAAGAAATGTTTTTTTTTTTCTGTCTGGTTAATGTGATCCGCATAACAATCAGTCTTTACTAAAACAGGAGAATCAATATTTGAATAGCACGCCCTCAGAAAATAGTTCCGCTTCACTGAAGAAGGGGAGAATTAATAGTAGTAGTAGTATCTTGAGACAGGATTGAATGTGTAGAGAAGCACATTTGACAAAGAGCAGGGGCTTTCTACAGGGAGGCTGGGAAATGGTGGAAGAGAAGTAACATAATAATCAATGGGAATAGAGAAAGGGACAAGAAACACAGACGTAAAGGCAGAGGGCTAAGTTATATTTTGGCTGCCTAGGTCTGTGCACTTGCTCTTGTTTCCTGTGACCAGTCCAAACTAAATTAACATTTTAATATTGATTTTTTTACTGATGAAATTCCTTATTTGACAGTCTCATACATTCTGTTAATGTATTTGGCTTACTCTTTCTCCCTTTAACTACCTCGTTCCCTGCCATCCTCCCTCAACCAGTCCCTTTCTCAGATTCACGACTTTTAGGTTGGTTTGGTGACATTCAGTTTAATCAGAACCATCTGTATGACCATTGAATTGGAACTATTTGTTGGAGCCTGGTGAGATCCTCAGTGGGAACTTAACTGAAGGCAATGGTCCTCACTCTCCCTGAATTTATCTGTAGCAAAGGCCAACCATGAGGGGTAGAGACCTGTGCTTCTTTTCCATCTGTGCCTGACTGTTGACAGTGCCGTTCTTGTGCAGATCCGCTGCAGGGAGCTGCACCTGCTTTGACTTTGTGTGTGCAAGAGACTTTGTCTTGCTCAGGAGATGATCTCTTGCAGTCCCTCTCCATGTCTTCCGGTGCTTCCATTCTTCATGACATGTCTTTCACAGTGTTCCTCAAGCTTTTCCGTGGATAGTACAAATGTGTTTTTCAGGGCTGAGCATCTGCACAGCAATAGGCTTTTCCTTTCATTATTGTTCACAGGAAAAAGTCTTTTTTCTTCAAAGCTGAGAATATCGTATGTCTAGAAGGCTAAATGGAACTGTTTAGGAGATGGCTTAATACTATGTTCATTTGCTAAACAACAGTAGTCCATAACCCCACCACCACCACACAGGACCTATGATCTGCCCTGCTATGGGTTTTTGACTAGGTTTTAAGTACCAGGCATGGATTCCCTTGTACTCTTAGAACAGATATCAAATCCAATCAGGGAGACCTTTAAAAAGTAGTAAATTCCAAAAAGAAATTGTTTCAAGTAATGTGAATATCCCATAGAAATCCTCTCGGTAGGTACAAAGAATAATAGGATTAACCTCTTGTCTTTTCCCACAGAACATTTAAGTACTATGAGTACCGTTACCAAAGAGATTGGAAAAGGTATGTAGGATGATGCATATATACTGAGAAGTTACGTGTCTCGTGTGTGTGTGTGTGTGTGTGTGTGTGTGTGTGTGTGACTTCTAGCATGACTAAACTTCGGCACCATGATATAACAACTTAAGATTTCTGTAAGATGTCAGAAGCCAATGAACTAGGATTTAGTGACCCTTGACATGTTTATTCACCTCGTGTCTCCCCCATAACCTCTGGATTGGGGAAATAGTCACATAGAAAGCTGTAACCTTAGCTCATGAAATATTTTATGAGGGAGAAGAAAATTCCAAATCCTGCTAGGTTGGACCTGAAAGAGTTGTAGCCGAAACAAGGATTCCTGCACAGACAATGTGGGAAGAGAACAAATACCAGATGCCCATTAACAACTACTTTTATTCTTTTATTTTTCATCTACAGAATACCAAGGAATTGTAGCTTGGGAACCATTTGTTTTCTTCCCTTTGAGAAAATAAAGCTTCTTTTCCTATGATGCCTAGGTCAAAATTATTCTTTCATTCTTTACTCTATTTGTGCCTTTTACCAGGAAAGATTCAGAAAGTTGTGTGAGGTACAAAGACTATTAGACCCATGGGTGCTATCATGCCTGATATGCCCACACTTGGGAAGTGGAGCAGGAGAATCATTGGTTCTAGACAAACCTAGACTCATAGTGAAATCCTGTCACAAAAGACTAAAAAAATCCACCTAAAGGGGACACTAAAGAGTATCAGTTTACTCTGGAGATTTTCAGCTCTACTGAAAACCAGCTTCTCATTAGTAAAGCCCCTGTCATCTACTTAAGTGTCTCATGAACTGTTAACCATGGATTGGGATGTGTGCTGGAGAGGTTAGAGGAAGGTGAGGTAAGGTTGAAAGGGCAGTGTGCAGATCACATTTCCTTCAACTCAAGTAACCTAAAGTCCTATAATATATATATATATATATATATATATATATATATATATATATATAGTGTGTGTGTGTGAGTGTGTGTATATATGCATACATGCATTTATATATATGTGTACATTTATCATTTTTACATATATATACATATGCATGTGCATATGTGTATATAATATGTGCATGCTTGTATACATATACATAAATATTATATGTGTATTTTTTATAAACTCTCACTTGAGAAAAAATCTGTCAAAATTGTAGGTCTAACAAAATTCACTAATCTTCTAAATTGAAAGTTTGTTCAGGGTCACAAGAAGACTAAATGCCAGAATGTAAACTCAGAACCAGAATGCTTTTCAGTTTCTATTTGAACTCATTACTTTGCATCTTCTTTCAGTTTTCTGAGAACATTCATTCTTCCAATTATGCATTCATCAAACAAGTGTCATTTACCAGGGGCACAAAAACAAATAAGACATAATCGCTACTTTCCAGTGCCTAAAAATGGAATGAGACACAGAAACAATAATTGTAATATTAGATGCTGTGCACAGAAGGGGTAAATAGCAATACTATCTTATAATTATTATATATTTGCTGTTTACCAGGTGCCATGCTAAATATTTCATACGTATTATTAACTCATTCAAATCTGATAATAATCCCCTTTCTTAGGAATGGTCATCATTATCTACATTTTGCTAAAAGAGTAAACTAAGATTCACTAGGGATTCAGTCATTTAGCCCTAGGTCACAGACTAAATAAATTATAGGTTCAGGAAGACCACAGCCAGTTTATGTTCTAGAGACGTGCACCCCTAATTGTACAAATGAATTACAGATATGTAACTTTTAACTTGGAGTTACAAAGAAAAAGAAAAGTTGGAAATTATTCAGGCAAAGGAAGATACATGAACAAAGTCAGAACCTATAGAGGCGCCATGTTTACAGGAAATAAAGGATGAGTTACTGTGGTTGAAAAATATCAGATAAGACTAGAAAGGTAGTTTGGAGCCTGAATGACAGGGTTGGAATGCGTGACTTGAAATTCTGAGCTTTGTCATGTAGATCAATTAAGGACAGTGAAATGTTTATATGACAGAAACTATCACAACCATCAGAAAAGATCTAGCTGAAATTGCTATTAACATGATCTGTACAGGTGGGAGTCCAGACAGCATGGTGGCAAGCTGTCACAGTCTAATGGCTAAAATGAATGTTGATAAGTTGGATTGACTCAATGTCCTCATGAAGTTTCACTTATTTCTTCTAGTTCTACTCTCTGGGTCCATGCAGATCAAGTCTAATTCTTTTTTCTATAGCATAAGATTTTAAGTATTCTCCAGTGACTCTTAGGGCTCCTCATGGGCAAAAATCATTGTTCATCACTGATTGACAAGAAGAGCTTCTTGCTGTGATATTGTAATTATATGAATTATCTGATTATAAATTTAAAATCTATCTTCATCAGCTGGTTTGAGGAATGGGGGCAGGTCTTCTGTCCTATTTTCATGGACTTGTTTGTCTAGAAGATGCCTGTAAAAGTTAATCTCATGTCTGGGTATCCCTTTCCTCTTCCTCCATTTCAGCAGTGATCCTAAGAGACATTGGCGAAGACAATGTGAAGCTGCTGGGCATGAAGATTCCCATAAAGGATGCTGAGATTCTGTCTTCTGTTTTGATCGCCATAAGTGTAATTCTTCTTCTTGTTGCTCTGGCTCTTGGTGGCGTAGTCTGGTACCAGCATCGACAAAGAAAGCTTCGGCGCAACAGGAGGTCTATTCTTGATGATAGCTTCAAGCTTTTGTCTCTCAAGCAGTAATAGCTGAATCCCGAAGATATCTTCAGAAAACACATCTGGAATGTTTCCCATGCTCCCAGGAAGCTGTGCACTAGCAGGAACCTCTTTTGTCAAGGGGTCAGGGGAGTGGAAAGGCAGAGGATGGAATCAAAATTATTTGGCTATTTCTTTATTTATTTACATGGAAATCATGCTCTTACTTTTTCTTAATTTTCCTTGCAACCTGAGGCAGTTAGGATTAGATAAGTACCTTTGTAAACAAATTTTAGTAGCTAGGATATGTCACCCTTCAGTATTGTACGGAAATTCCTAGAATGTAATCATGCTCACAGAATAGATACCAAGAAGTTATCTAATTAGGCTTTTATTTCCAGAACCTAGCTAGAAAAGTATACTTTTAATTGAAGCCAAATGATGAGCCACAAAGATAACCCACAACTAAATAAAGGACCAAGAACATAAGCATTATGGAAAATGAGAGGTAGCGTGGGGAGTAGGAATCAAAATTACTCTTTAATTTTCTTTGGCAATGGACTATTTAGATGAAGGAACTGTGGTTGTTATGAGTACCTACAAACTCTGGAACCAGAAACACCTGTAAAACAGTTCTTCAGGTTTCTTCACAGTGGTACTGAAGGGACTTTGGGATGATCTCTGCATGTTTGAGGTAGTGAATCCTATCCATTAAAGTACTTATTAAAAAATTGGAACACTGGATTTGGTAATTTTGATGATTCCCATGGCAACTGGGAGGTGGAACTGCGTTTTAAACAAAAGGATTTCAGTGATCTGGGGAGGCAAATTATAAATCTAGACACCCTTTGTGGATCCTAGAGATCTGGGTGCTTTCTCAACGTAAGCCTCCATGTCAGAGTAGTAACATCCTAGAGGAGAAGTTCTATGGGTGCTAAACATTTTTGGAATGTCAAGAAAAGTGGCTAGAGAAGGCACCGAGACAAGACTCACACCTGTCCACTGGGCAAAAAGAGATAGGTGCATGCATGGCGATTTGGTTGGTAGGGATGGCTATGGGGATACGAGAGACAGGTTTGCAGTTTGCAGGCAGCTTCATAGAACAGAATCATTCCTCCCTGTATCTTACAGCATCATCTCTTTCTGACCAGCATGTTAAATCCTCTCTGAAACTTTGATCAGAAAGCAAAGGCAGGAGAAACAGAATGGAGTAAGACAGCCCATTCTCACTAGAGTTTCCACATGGCAAATGGAGAACAGAAGGGGAATCATGGAGAGTAATGATAATAGCAATGGAATGGGAATATAGCCTAGTGGCAAAGTGATTGCCTAATAAAAGAGAGTCCCTGGGTTGAAAAAAAAAAGCAGAAAGGAAACAAAACAGAAAACAAGGTAAAAACAGAGGTGTGTAGTGATCTTCCTACACGTAGCAAATAATTCTAATTCCTGATTAGATTGGATTTGCCTCGGTTCATTAAAGGGGAGATTAAATGATTTTACTTAGGGTGACTCAGCTGCAAATTGAGGGGAGACTCAATTTTTCATGTCTTTGACTTTAAAAATGTCCTATTCTCCCTTTGTCTTGGAAACTTCTTATTATTCTTTGTCGTTCTTTTGCACTTGATTTCAAATTGTGAGGTTGCCTAGCAACTTGTTTACTTAGTTAGCAACCCACAGAGTTGGTTTCCAGTTGCCATAGGATGCTGCAGGTCAGAGGCCAGAGATGTAAACAAAGACCAGAATAATGTGTTTTACTCGTCCATGCTCAGTGACTTTCTGGAAAATTTCTGGAAATCTAGGTACCATATTTACCTATTGTCCTGTTTTAGAAATAATATGCCTTCTTAGAGAGAAATGATTCTACACACTTAGAAGATATTTTGTAGACTCTTAACCAAAGTGTACATGGCTGACTGTGACAATGCTCAAATAAGAGTCAGAAATGAATGGAAGGTTTTATTGACTTACATACACCTTAGGCTTATGTGTCCCACAAACACTGTCATGCTAAAATCTCTTTTTGTCCTGACCGAAGGTCACACTTATAACAATTTAAACAGTCAGGAGACTGCAATTCTTGTCACTTAGGTAGCTAGAATTACATAGCAAAGATACTGTCATCATTGTTTTTAAGTGTACCAGTGTTATTCCTTTTTGAATAGTTGTTACAGAGGGCCATCCTTTCTACATGGAGAAATTGTGCGGAGCAGGATGGTACAGAGGTTCTTTCATCTTCGTGTTCCTTCATCATTCCCGTCAAAGCTGTTTTAGGTTTGACTAGAATTTGATCTCCTTGATGTGGAAAATTACCCAACTCTGTTCTAGGAACCTGAATTCAAGATGCTCCAGTTAATTTATCTTGGCTTCTGTTAAACTGCCCGCTTATGCAAACCTCCCCCTCCAGCGAATTAGCTTTTGTTAAACTGCTTGCTAGCACAACTGCAGAGCCAGGTAGCATGATATGGTTTGTCCTTTAAAAACCCCCTTACCCTAAATTGCAGTGCTGTACTTGGGTCCTGAATATCTGAGTGTAGTCCCAGCTGGCTGGAATAAAGACTTTCAGTTGGATATAAACAGTGTCTGAGTTTTCTTCTCTGGTGGGCTCCCTGTAACAGCATTTGTTTTTCCTGATAGGAACATAGGAGACTGAATGGCATACAGGACCTCAGTGATCACTGTCGCTCTATGCTGCTCCAAATCTAGCTGCTCCTTACAAGTATAGCTTTGGTATAGGAATCAGGGCCAAATGACTGGTGAGCCCTGGTGAATAAACATTCACATTCTAGCATCTTAAGTTTTACTCATCTCTCTCAGGCCTGGTGAACATGCTACTTATCTTTGCGGTGTTTTGTAAGTAGGGCTACTCAGGCTAAGTTTTACATGTGTGACTTAATCTTTCCTAAGCAAATCTATTAATAAGTCCTTTATAATATCAGTTTTTTTATCACGTTGAATTTCTTTTACAACAATTTACCACAACAAAGTGTTAGTATTTAAGCCTTTGCAAATTGATAGATGTAGCAGCAGCCGACAACCATCCTTTGATCTGTTGTTTATGTGGAGATTAATGAAAACTGACTCTATTCCAGGGAACCCAGTCAATTAATGTTGGTAATTTTCATATAACTGGAAAGTCCTTAGTTAGCATATGTGAGACTGGGAGATATAGGTATGTCATGATGCATTTTAAATGACTAATTTTTTTTTTTTTGGTTTTTCGAGACAGGGTTTCTCTGTGGTTTTAGAGCCTGTCCTGGAACTAGCTCTTGTAGACCAGGTTGGTCTCGAACTCACAGAGATCCTAAACGACTAATTTTTAAATTTATTTTGTAATTATGTATATGTGTATGAGGAAATGGAGCAAGGCCAGAGGCATCAGACACCCTGGAGCTGGAATTACCAATGGTGTCAAGATATTGAATGTAGGTTTGGGAACCGAACTCTGGTCCTCTGCACGAATAGTACTTGTTCTTAACCAATGAGCCATCTCTGTCGCCAAACAAAATACATTTTTATTTGTTGTGAATAATTCTGCCTCCAATCAAAAAATGGAATCTTAGAGCCTTCGTATTTTAGAAAAGGATGTATTTTTTACTTAAGTTGTTACAAATATGGGTTTAAGGAGGTACTATGCAAAAAATAGTTAAATATACTCTCATCCATCAACATCAATACAATAATGTGTCTTATTTGCTTTCTCTCCAATACATCTTTAAAATATTTTATTTTTTAACAATTTTGTTTTTCTTATTACTATTGTGGAGCGCATACCAGAGCCTGTATGTGGAGGTCAGAAAACAACTTTCAGAAATGGATTTTCTCCCCCGACTGTGGGTTCGGGTGATTGAACTCACATTATCAGGCGTGTATGACAAGCAATTTTACCCAGTGACCCATCCTGCTGAACCCAAATATTTTTATTTGTTTATGTCTTTGTTGGTCCCCACTTCACTTCAAAGCTTAACTATTTGTTAACTTGGCATGGTGAGTTATGCATACCATCCCGGCATTGAGACATAAAGGACACAAGTTGAAGGTCAGCGTAGACTGCGCAGTGAGTTCCACACCAGCCTGGGCCACTGAATGAAACTGTTTCTCAAAACAAAGAGGGCAAAAAATTCAAAGCCGTTTGTTTCCTAGACTATTGTATTCTTTTCCTGATGTTTTTCTCAGATTCTCTCCGGACTTACAATTGATTTTTCAGACAGAAAAGGGAAGCTTCAAAAATATAATTAAGTCTCTACTTTGAACAACATATTGTACGTTTAGATCTCCCTGAAGATAACTAGACCCTGGAGATAATTAAAGAGGCAACAACAGAAGAAGAAAGAGAAAATCACTAAATAGGGACAGCGGGACTGAAAATGTAGTGTTAGCTTTGCATCATATGACTCTCTACCGAAACAACCAAGTCGCAGCATACTTACACTCAAAACAAGCAAGGTAGAAAATTTTAGAAAAGATTGTGATAGTTTGAATGAATATGGTCCCCATAGTCTTAGGTTTTTGAATGCTCAAAGGGAGTGGCACTATTATGAATTATGCCCTTGTTGAAGCAAGTGTGTCCTTGTTAGAGGAAGAGTGTCACGGTAGAGGTGGGCTTTGAGGTCTCCTATGCTCAAGCTACGTCCAGTGTGATACACAGTTGCTTCTGCTCCCTGAAGATCATGATGTAGAACTCTTAGCTTTTTTTTTCTAGCACCACATCTGCCTGCACACTGTCCTGCTTCCCACCCTGAAGATAATGGACTAAACCTCGAAAACTGTAAGCCACCCCAATTAAATGTTTTCCTTTATAAGAGTTGTCAGGGTCATGGTGTCTTTTCACAGAAATAGAAACCCTAACTAAGAAAAACATAATCATGGAAATAACCAATGAGTAACAGCAAATTGAGTGACAGTGGCTACCTTTTAGAAACTCTGAAAACTAGAAGTGTCGTAGTATTTTTCTAATGAAGGAAGAAAAAGAGCCATGCATGGTGGTACACACACCTAGAGTTTTAAAGCTTGGAATGCAAATCAGTGAAGACTGAAGTTCATGGCCAGCTTAGACTTTATTGAAAGTTGAAAGCTGGCTTGGACTACATATTGAGAAACTGACTCACTCTATCATTTCAATTCTGTATCTAGTGAAGAGTCTATGCATGAATTGTGCACAGATACAATTCATATAGTGTGTACTATGTGATCTAATTTCCTTGTATGTACTGGCATCTTATTTATTTATTTTTAAATATTTGCTCCTTTACTTTTTTTTATTTTTGATTGAAAAAAAAATTCTGCCTTCTCCCAGCCTCCCATTTCCCTCCCCCTCCTCCCACTATTCTCCCCCTCTCCCCACTCCTCTCCCCCTCTCTCTCCAGTCCAAAGAGTAGTCAGGGTTCCCTGCCCTGTGGTATGGATGGAGATAGAAACAGAAACCCACAATAGAGCACCGGAATGAGTTCCCAAGGTCCCAATGAGGAGCAGAAGGAGGGAGAACATGAGCAAAGAAGTCGGGACCACGAGGGGCGCACCCACCCACTGAGACAGTGGGGCTGATCTAAAGGGAGCTCCAAGGCCAGCTGGACTGGGACTGAAAAAGCATGGGATAAAACCGGACTCTCAGAATATGGCGGACAATGAGGGCTGCTGAGAAGCCAAGGACAATGGCACTGGGTTTTGTTCCTACTTCATGTTCTGGCTTTGTGGGAGCCTAGGCTGTTTGGATGTTCACCTTCCTAGACCTGGATGGAGGGAGGAGGACCTTGGACTTTCCACTGGCATCTTATTTTTGAAATAATTTCTGAGTTGTATTCTATTGTGTGAGAATAATGTGATTTTTTTCATTTTATTTATTGTGGACATTTTAGTTGTTTTTATCACAAAAAGGTGCATTGAACATTAATGTACAAAAAATTATATGATATCCTGGAGCATACAATAAACATCATTAAACATAGACAAATTAATATTATATGGTTTGTTTTTTTTTAACTGCAGTGGACCCAAACTAGAAATCAGTAGCTGAAAAAAAAACACGTTTAATACTTTAAAATATAGTTTAAAATGCTTCATGGATAAAATAAAAAGTCTCACTGACCATCTAAGTATGATTTTAAGTTATGATTTTAAATCGAGGTCTTTGGGCAAAAGAAACCCAATGGCATATCAGA